TTAGGGAAAGTGAAATATCTTCTTTTCACCTTAACTAAATTCTCTGTTGAAACTGTATAATTCTTTTCACTTTTTCCTTTGATATTGTTTTTAAAATAATCGTTTTGCACAGCCAGTGGCGGACGAGAGTTGTAGTTTGGGGTGAAATGCACATTGATCAGTGGATTTTAACGTTTGGTGACGAATTAAGGGTTGCTGTGCAATGTGCTTCTTGCTTTATGATAGTATGTGGAATAGTCACGTGTATTTTCCTCCTTTCCGGTTTTAAAGCTTCATATGGCAGATACAGCAAAGAAACCCGTTTTACGAAGGTAAGGTTATGCTTTGGTACTACAATAAATAATAAAGTATGCAAACGTATAGTTAAAACAGTGCAGGTCCTCTTCATTCTACCTTTATTAGGTGTTAAATAGCAAAGTTTTTAGTTTTTGTCACATTTTTTTTTGATCATAATGTACATTATGAATAGCACAGACGTTTTTAGTATTCTTTGCCAGCGCGAATGGCGTGGTTTCTGCAGGAATTACCATCATTACTAATACCTGTTGTTCTTCTCGTCAATTATGTGGAAAACACCCCGTTTTTAACAAATACAGTTGTTGTTAGCCTTTTCATTGTCCATTACTTTCAAAGGTTATTTGCCATTTTCTACTGTCTTTTTTGTCTAAAAATTTACAGAGTACAGTAAGTTATTGATAGCACTTGTCCATTTTGATCGACTTTTCTCACGCTGACCCCTAATAAGTGAGACAAAACACATAATGTTTTTACGCTTTAACTAGAGGATACAGACTTTACCGCCTAACGGCATAATTCTGGTTCTGATTTTTATGGTTATTGATAAGAAAGCCAAAGTGTACCAATTATTGTTGTGCAGTTGTTGGCGGGTTTCATTAAGCGAATGGAAATATCCTTTTTTTTCTTACTTTAAATGTCAGTGCCGGATACAGCAAAATCATTAGACGTAGCCGTGTCGTATACATTTTCATAATTCCATTGACATTTATCCGGCTTTCAGTATGAAGTGGAACGTTTTACCGAGTTTGTTGGGGCCCAGATTGGAGTGGGAACATAATAAATGAGTGCAGATTGAAACTTAGTTATAACCCGAGCATATGACTTATGATAGAAACGAAATGGGTACGTGGTGTATTTATAGCTAAGATCGTCTTTAAGGACACTTGTTTATCCGTTCCTGATGAGAAGTGGGAAACCTACTCCTTTTCACGTGTGGGTATTAGCGGTTATTTTCTGTACATACAATGGAGTGATACAAGGACTGTGGCATTTGTATTTCGCTGAATATCCTCCAAACTGGTTCTTTAAAACGAGGACATTTTGCGGTAATATTAGCAATAAATCTTCAGTTTTCGAGATAGTTTCGTAAGAAGTTTGTTCATGTACATACTGAACCCAAGTCTGCCATTCTGCTGTAGAATAGCGTTTTTTATAAATGGATGAGAGAAACCTAATCAAGGAGGGGAAAGTTTGGTTTATCTGCTCTTTTTTGATTAGCGAGGTGTGGACCAGGAGGGAGATTGGAAAGATCACATTATTTGTCGAAAATACTTCATCAGTTGTTTAGGTCTCATAATGTTTGTATGTGGTATGTTTATTAATATTCATTCGGATGCAATACTGCGCAGTCTCAGAGCGCCTGGAGATAATGGTTATAAGATACCATATGGAGGGCTGTTTGAATATGTATCCGGAGCAAATTATTTTGGAGAATGTTTGGAATGGGCTGGTTACGCAATATTTGCGTATACACTCCCTGCGATGGCTTTTGCCATTTTTACAATTTGTAACGTTGGTCCCAGGGCTCTTCACCATCACCGGTATGCAAATTACAATTTTAGAAATTACTTGAAAAGTTATCCACATCTTTGGGAAACACCTTTTATCCAGCGGCGTAGGAAGGTCATTAAGGTGGTACTTGGAGAAGTTTGACGACTATCCGAAGAACCGGAAAGCTTTTATTATGTTTTTACTGTAAATGCCTGTATACGCCCAATTACGGAATTAACTCATTGCAGTCCCAGGTATATTCTTTTAAGATTTTTGCAATATTTCCAATACATTTTTTCAAGTATTCTCACTCATACTGCTAAGTTTTGCTTGACTCAAATAAATAAGTCAAAGCTCCAATTTCTCAATGGCAGTGGTACCACTTTTCGAAAAGGCATGTAGGTACCGTATGAAGGATCTCAAAAATCGGCACCATTATTAATTTACTTTTGTTTGCAGCCGTCCCAGATGTAATCTTTCGTATTCTTTAGGTTTTACATGGAGGCGAACATGCTGAAACTTTGGAGTTTTGTATCTATTCTTCAATTTTCTTATTTCATTCTTGGTCGAGTGCTGACACCGGTAGAAGAAAGGTATTTGAAAGTTGATAGTTTTGTTATCTCTTTCGCGATGTTCTTTTGTCATTTTTGTCTGTACCTAGCGTGTATTTTTCTGTTTTAGTCTTAATTTCTGTTGCTTTGCTGTTTGCATTATGCAAGGGTGTGTTTTAGATACTTTTTAAACAGGGGGGCTTCTTTCAGTCGCGAGCGAAAGCTCTGTCTAGGGTGCACGAGCTTCCACCCGCTTAAGCGCAAAGGCCCGTTTTCAACGTTTTTCACTACCCTGCGGGTCTTTCGCTTAAAAGATGTTTCTGGACCAGGACCGGTATTGTAGGTTTGATAAAGTCTTTTTGATCCCATTTTGCAAATTTATCCACTGAAAGCTTCGGTGTCAGCACTCAAGGGTTGAAAAGTGCGTGTACTTGAAATAAACATGTCAAAATTTCCTGTTTGCATTTTGTAGCTGGTTACAGGTTGCAATCTTCATTCCAAACAGTAAAAAGTCTGCTATTTTTTTTTTGAATTAGCAATGCAGTTTTAGGATGTTCGCTAGGAGGTTTATATATATTTATCTATGTATCTTTCTTCTGTCAAATTTATGGATTTAGTATGTATTTTGGCATCACAAGAGAGTTTGTAAGCCTACAGCTTTAGTCACTTAATTGCTGCGTTCAGATTTTCCCTGAAGTTGTTATAGTTTGGCTGCTTTAGACGATTAGGGTATTTTAAAGGAAACGATGAGATAAGCCTTTATTTGCTTCTATAGGTGCATTCTGGGAAGTAGATTACAAATACGTTCGAAGGTGCGTAGCAGGCCTTTACACGAATACAATTCGCAGACCTTACTATTCTTTCGCTGGCCTTTCAAACACTGAAATAAAATCCCTCAAATTATATGCATTTTTTACTCACTAAACTGTATCTTTTGCAAAGTTTGTGTTGTTTAAAACGTTACTGCTTCTTCTGTTTTGTAAGCCAGATGTGTCTCACTCACCATCTCAGTTAACGCCAGCGTATAGAAGGCAGAAAAGACTGTGATGAACGTCACTTTTTACAGCTTTGCAGAATAATAAATATTAAATTTTTCAAAGTAAAATACAACTTTGTAACAAATCTGCCACGATTTTTGCAGCAAATCTTCAATGAACAAAATTTTGTTGAGGTTCCCTAACTGCTCTCCATACTTTTAGAAGCGGATGAGGACGCTTTTGCAGCTGTAAAGTGCGCAGAATTACTGTAGAAGCAGTTGGTTTTATTTAGTCTCATGGTCAGTTCCGGCTGGTAACTTCCGAATCTGAAAATTTGCTATACAAATTTGTGATATATTTAGAGCGAAAAATTCTATATAATGTATTATTCAAAAATTTAGAGATAAATTTTTTAAAATATCAGTTTGAAATATTTTTCCATTGTGTCGATATGATTTTTCCCTATAAAGAAATGACAATCTAAAGAGCTGAAGATTTCCATGCTTTGTTGAGGTTAAATTGAATTATACATCTCCGAGGAAAGGTTTTTCGAGTGACAACTTGGTAAATTTTACAAATGTGGTCGGTTGTGACTTGATGGAGAATTCACTTCCAGGTTCTTTCTTCAAAATGCTGTTCTTTTGCCTAGACTAGTAATGAGCAAAGTTTGAAAAAATTTCAAGGCGTCAAGTGAAAAAAATTTGCGGGCAGGCTTGGAGAGGTTGATATATACAGCACATCAATGAAGTTTATAACTTGAAAATTTTCAAGTTTTTTGTTAAAATTTCCTCGAGCATGTGATAATTATAAACCGGGAAGGGTCACTTGTAGAAAATTTTTAGTACTCAGGAACTCGAGCGATTCAATTTTTTTTAGTTCTGTTCCTAAACGATAGGAAGATGTAGAGATTTTACCTTTGGGTTTTCATTTTTTCTAAACTTTTTGTCAATCTCATTAAGTTTTGTTGTCTAACGCGGTCGGTATGGAGTCGGAAATTAAATTTGGGGCCACCTGACCAGTTAGTAATGGACAGGTTATGAAATGAAGACCCGAGTTTCTAGGCTATTATGAAGTGTCTCGATTGAAAAAGGTTTGCATTATTATCTGCTTGCAATTTGAGTAATGGCGTGAAATGAACACACTTAAGAAAGTTGGGAGGTAAGAGGAGAACGACTGTTTGAAATGGTTGACGTATCCACCGACTGTTAAAATTCATCCGGCAGTTGATGTGTAGAAATTATTTTCACTATTTTGGAAAGATGGCGGTAGGAACTATTTTAGAAAGGAAAATAATTTAAGCACTGCGTAAATTTTCAATTAAAGCTGAACTTTTCTTAATAAATAATTTTTTTTTGGAAGAATGTTGTAAAAAAATTAAAATACGTGAATCTTTTCTATTACTTATCACGGGTTTCTGGCATCTTTCATCTCTGGCTGTATAATTTCCTCTTCTTCCTTACAAAGTACAAGTAATTAGATTAACAAAAAAGCATTTTCAGAACCTTTGTTAAGCCTATGATAAAGTTAAATTCTTTTCTGATATTGTACTGATGTCTTTTTCCCTGAAACAACTGAAACAGCTGAACCTTGTCCTAAACTTCCATTTTCTCTTTGTATAGAGAAAAAAAACGCTTATGTTTTATATGCCTTGTAAAATCACTTTAAAACTTTTATTTCACTGATTTTGGTGGATTTTTTATAGGTTTATGCAAACTAAAAATGGGCTATGAGAGTTTGTGCAGTATAAAGCATCGTGTATAATAAGGTTCTGATAGCCGCCAGTAACATTTCGGTAATAGAAGAAAACTAGATTGTCAAGCTCTGCTTTACAATAGGCAATTGATTGGTAAAAGAAAATAAATGTTTTAATGAATATTCCCTTGTAAAGTTGAGGGTAATTTTTGTTTTTGTTTTTTTTTTCTTCAGGCGCTTTACCACGGGAATCAGTAGTTAGTCACGATAAGTGGTTAGATTTTGAACTGGAAGATTTGCTTCTGATTTGAATTTATTTAGGGCCGCCGATATTGCGTTTGGTAGTATTACTTTTGACAAAAACAATTATTTTAGGCTATTGTTATTTCCATTGAACGTTTGTTTTGATGATGTTTCAGCAAGATAAGACATTTTCGTAAAAACAAGAAACATTTGAAACAAAATCTTCAAGGTTTCATATATGAAAGATATATCTGCAATCTGTAATCGAGAGTTTCTCATCCTACTTACAACATAAAATAAAGAATTTTACAAACAAAAAAGTTGTGTCCCAAACTGTCCATTTAAACTTAACTGCATGGTAGCTGAAAATTTATGAGTTTTATTTATTTGTTTTTTTCTGTCTTTCTACTTTTTAAGAATTTTTGCAGTGGCGCTTCTGTAGCAGTCTCTGCTGAGCATTCTTCAAAATAATTACACATATAAAAAAGCCACATATTTGAGCCATTTAAAATGACAAGAAGCCACAATATAGCATGGAAGACAACAAGACAGAAACACTACAAATAAATAATTTGCAGTCAAAACATCCGTTTTTCGATATCTTTCATGCAATCACCAACGATTAGCCGATTTGTAGGGAGTTTGTAAAGGCTGTTCTGCACAGATAATTTTGTTGAAAAGCTGAAATTATGGTGTGCAGGTTGAGGTCAATGAAAAAACTGTGTACTTGCAGTTTTTTGTTTCTTCTTCCTGGTGAAGTTTTACTACAGATCCACTTCTCATTATCTTGTAAAGATACAAGATAAGTCCTGACTTACTCGTAAATGTTTTTTTTTTCAGTTTTAAAGGATTACCACAACAATCCCGAAGTTTAACAAATAATGATTTAAAAGAAGTTTAGCAAGTGTTCTTTCGTAAACCTTTTTTTACCTACCATTAGGGTTATTCAATATTTTTAATTTGTTAGGTTAATGACGAGTTAGGTATCTTGCTAATTTAGAAGTGAAATAAAATTCTAAGGCAAATTAAAAATTTTTAACAACAACTTAAGCTTCAAAAGGTATTAAAAATGTAACAAAAAGTTCAAAATTACTATTTGTCATTAGTTTATACGTGACTAACCTCCATCAAAAGCTGGTTAAAGGAACTATATTAAAAGTGCTCAACACATTTTTTTGGCGCTGAAACCAATTACGAAGCAGTTCTTGAAAGTATTGCTAGAAGGAGGATAAATATATAAAAATGAGCTCCAAAATCAAATTTTGTTGGAGATAGAGTGCTTTGCTGCTTTATAGTAGTGGTCTTTTCGATATTTCTTAAAATTTTTGAGAGTATAACAAATTGCTTTGTTTTTTCTAACGACTTTCTAATTTAACGTTTAAATTATGACACTGCGTCAGTAACTTTAAAATTTGAAATATTTTACGCAGGATCACACATTTGTCACTTATAATAAGCTGAAACCTGTTATTTTTAGTGCATTATGGTATCCACAAAGAAAAAATTTCACCTGCGTTACTATGTCGACGACAGTTCCACTGCGGCCATGCGAAGAATCGAGCTCATCCGAAACACTATTTTAGGCAGTAATGCTGAGGATTTAAAAATTGATGTCGAAAGTTGTTATAATTTGCTTGTGGAAGCTGAATCTGAAGAAGACTTTGAGTTGCTGTATTTCAAGACATTAAACTGGTTGATTTCTGACGATATGCCCAATAGAGGACTTAGAAAACAGTCAAAGTTTTTGGCTGAAAAGAACGTAATTGAAATAGGACCACGGTACTGCTACAAATTTCTGAAATGTTTTTTTCCACTTACGTGATTACCGTTTTCTTTTATTTTTGAGACTTTTAATATACTGCAATGCATCTAACTAGAGATAAGCTGACTTATTTGGAAAAAAAATACTGCTTCTTACAGCGAGTTTCACGTATTAATCCGGTAATCACTAAAAGTGATGTATTTCTAATGCGCATCTTAGTGTTGTACCATCAAAAATGTAGCTTAGCTTTTCATTTTAGCTTTACGTATACGACACCATTCAGTATCAATGCAGTTTCTGTTTGTAAAGCTGCTGGGATAGCTGGTGTAAAGCGTGTGGAAGTTTCAAAACGTTATTATATTTACTATACAGCAAAAAACGTTGATCAGGAGGTTCTTTTCCTGATTCACAGTCGTCTGGCAGAGTGTGAATATAATGTGGTTCCTTCCTTCACAAAGTGTCGGAGTCTAGAAAAGTGTTATCAGATTGACATTTCTGCTTTGAAAGACAACCTTAAAAATGCATGTGAAATGCTAGGTACTGTTTTCTCTGCATTTTACATCCATACTCGACCAATTGAAATTGAAGAATTTCTTGAAACGTTGCAAAATTTAAAAAATACAGCACAACCAAAATTTTTTATTCTTTTTCTTTTATTTGTTAGACGGTAACTTTTTAGGTCTTTCCATGGATGACGATGACTTAAACTACTGCTTCGATCTCTTTCATAATAGGTTAAGGCGAAACCCAACTAATGTGGAGTTGTATGACTTAGCTTATTCCATCAACGCACAAAACAAGAATATGTTTTTCAGGCAATACCTTATTTTTCATACTTCTATCGACCAACTGCATTGATATTTTTACTTCCCACTTGTACGTAAGACCAAGAAAAACTATACGGTCGATCAAGCTAAAAATGCTTCAGCTGTGCACAATTCTTTTGCATTTAGAGGAAAACTGATTGTTGATGGTAAGGAACAGACAGATTCACTGATAGAACAAATCCAGAATACACAAAATTATTCAAATCGAAATAACGTTATTGCGTTTGCAGATGAAAGCAGGTATTTTTACAGTTAGTTGACTTAAATTGTTTTCATCTAATAAAATATTTCCTGCCTATTAAGCAGATACCGTACTGTGTAAGCCTCTGATTCAAACAACTCTGAAAAATGCTGATCCTATAATTAATTATGCAGTTAAACACTGAAATAAATAATTCAGTGCAATAGTTGGATTTCGAACACACTGCTTGAGATCTCTAAATCCTGCAGTTTTTGCGGAACTTGACTATTTTCCGTGTGTCAGACATATTCTTCATTCTACTGGAATTTATCATTTCCCGACAGGTATAGTAGTTTACCTTAGAACATGCGCTGCTTACTAGTAGAACAACTAAAGTCAAAGAGACGGTACTTCTGTGGTTTTTTTTTTGTTACATTACAGCTTTTTGCCTAAGCATTTTCAAGCAAGTTGTTTCTCAAAATTTTATCGTTCTGTTAATCTATTTCCAGTAACTGCTACCGGCATTGGTCAAAGGATAGGAGACATTTATGCTACTGGACGAGGTACTGGTTCACTCAAAGAGCATGTTGATAATCATAACTAACTTATTTAAAGTCAAAGTCAATTCAACAATCATTTACACTCCAACATTTTGCTCATTAAAGGCGCGAATGAAGCAGCTGGAATTGCCGGCTATTCCGTAGGTAATTTACATCTGGACGGTTACAAGCTAGAATGGGAAGACGATTTTACATATCCATCAGAAGTACTACAATCAAAAGAAGTATGCTTAAGAACATCTTTCCATCGTAGCGTATTTTCTTTTTTGTATTTTTATAACGACTTTAGCAATCTTCCCGTATGGATTTTATATCTGCTACTTTTTACAAGAGAAATTCTTCTGTGTTCTTAAAAATATGTAGAGAATGAAAAGAAAAAGCTGAGCAATTTGCTGTATATAATGCTCCGACTCATAAGGAGTGTTTATTTCTTTATCTTTACAGATACTGAATGAGGCCAGCAGTAGTGTAAGCTACTACAGTAACAAATTTGGTTTGTTAACCTTACCTTTATTGTTTTGAATCTTAATCCCAGTACTCACTCCTCTGGCACTTAATAAATATTTGACTAGTTATCTCTACATTGTTTAGGAGAACCGTTAATTTGTGGCTATTTGAGAAGTTTTGGACAAAAACTGTCAGGTAGTTACCGTTCGGAATACCTCAACCCCCTTATCTTTTCCGGCGGTATTGGAGCAGCTGATGACATTCAGATCAGGAAAGTGCCGCCAGAGTCAGGATTGTGGCTTGCAACTATCGGTAGTTCTCCTTCCAGCGTTGGAAGATCTGCCATTAATCCTGTATCAATTCTAGGTTAAATTTTATTTTCTTCCACTTAAACATGCTGTTAAGATAGATGGTAATATTTATTGAAGTGTTTTCAAGATTACAAAGAACATACCTGTAATCCAAATTATGATACTGTTCGGAGAGCAAACCCGGAAATGGGACAAAAAGTGTATCGTGTGGTTCGAGGATGCACCGAGTTAGGTGACGAAAACCCGATAATGTCAGTCCGTAATCAGGGATCTGGTGGAAACGGTATTTTCTAAAAAAATTTTCTTAACTAGTGGTTCCAAGGAAACCTGCATTAACAAGAGAACGCACAAGATCACGATGAAGTTTTTGACAAAATTTAGTATTACCAGTCAACAGCATTTTACAGGAAGTGTTTTAAAAGAAGTAATTGGTAGCAAACTTGGTGCGCTTGTTGAGGCTGACAGATTTCAATTGGGAGATCCACCTTTGTCAATTTATGAGTTATGGTGTAGTGAATGTCAAGAAGGTAACACAGTAACTGTTCATCCTGAACGCAAAGCTGTTCTCGAAATCATTGCCAAACGTGAACGGTGTGACGTATCTTTCATTGGTCAGACAAATAATTCAAAGATGGTAAGCTAGGAAACCGTTAGAGTAAACTACTTATTATTTCGACAGAAATGTTACTAAGAGTGTTTAAATTTGTTTATTCCTCCATTTATTACAGATTACACTACTTGATTACAATAACGAGAAAACTGAACAACCTCCATTCAATATACCGAGGGATTTAGCTAGCAAACCTTTGAAGGTTAAACTTTAAACTTAAAGCGAAGACTTTTTCACTTGGTTGAGTACTTATCCAGTTTTTTACAGCGTTTTTCCTTGACTTCGATTAAAGACTCTTCTAAAGCTTTGAAAATACCCTGTGAACTAACCGTTATGGAAGCATTATCGCTTGTCTTAAGGTTACCTTCGGTTTCATCCAAACGTTTTCTCACAAACAAGGTAAGAATCTTATACAGTACTCTCCTATTTTGAGTAGGTAAATCATGGCACTCTTTTGCTTCACTGTATATTCTTTAAAGTACTTTCTTTAACAACTTGATTTTTTTCTACCTATGAATTCCGAACTCCTCAGACTACATAGATTAACTTCGGGATTTTATGCATTTTTTATTTAACTTTTATGGTTTTAATCTGTAATGGTTTTCGTTTCACATATGCTACTGTGTGTCAGTATCGCGACAGACGCTTGGTGCGTTCTCATGGCATTTTTTAAGCACTGCTAGCACGTAAACAGAAAAAGAGACCCACAAGAGGAGCGAAGACGGTGAGCTCTCCGAGTGATTGCGCATAGTTAATAGATTAGACAACTAACTTTCTTTTCTCTGCCTATCGTTTCACTGCAGTCGTAGAGAAAGAGAAAGTTATAATTGGCTGAACAGAATGATTAAATAACTGATACGTTTGACAAGTTGGTAAAAGTCCTTGTTTTT